CCAAAACCCCAAAACCCCAAAACCCCAAAACCCCAAAACCCCAAAACCCCATTTGAAATAATACGTATTTTTGTCGTTTTAAGAAATTAATTATAATATGATTTTGTCAGTTTCAATTTAATATGGTGTAAACTAAAATGGAAACAAATAAAATCATTTCCATCCATGATTATGTAATTGAACCACTTGAACAGACCTTCACATTATTGGAGCATTCTTCAGAAATAGTTTTCTTAGGTCCAGGTCCCCAACATCCCACTGTGTATGGATGGAACATTGTAGTTGCATAATAATAAACTCCAGCTATTTCAACTCCATTGCAAAGATCAATATCGCAGGGTTACCATAAAGTTCCATCTCTTTTGTAGGGCCCTAAAATTGAATGGCCATCTCTCGCTATTCCAATTATCATTATAGTCTTTTCTTGATATTACATGAAGGATAATGCATATGCTAACTTATCTTATTTGCATTTTGGTATATTATTGCATTCCTATGCATCTCTGCTCTTAATAGGTCCAGATGGAAGTATGCAAGGAGACCAACCATAATAGTGATAATATCCAGAAAACTCAGCACTTCCAAGACAATTGTCAAGCTGAATTAATTTGTCAGAATAAGCTTTACTTCCGAATTTCTTAGGATAGAATACATCAGAGCCGTATTCAGAATTTCCAGTATGAATAGCCACTCCATTAAGGGCAATTCCAACAATACTATCATAATTTCCTGAATATTCAACATAACTTGGATTCATTTATAAGATATATCCTGACTAAGTCCATGAATCATCACAAAGTGCCATATTTACACTTAATTGATTATTTCCGTTGTATTGATAAGATTCATCTTATTCAGAATCTAAAAGCATTCTTGTTAGGGAGATTTTATTCTTGTATACAACTTAAAAGTCAATTTCATTCTTCTTAGGAGTAGTGTCTGAAATAAAACAGTGGTTAGGTAAAGAGTTAGATTTTATTCTCAATACAGCATTATTTCTTTTGAGCTAAAGATCTCGCTATCCTGTTTAAGTTTATTCTTCATTCTAGCAACCGGTAGCAGTTTATCTCACCCATTGACAAGGTGGACTTGATCCATCAGGACATGATGTCATTCCTCTACATTAAACGCTATCTCCTCCCTCATTATAATTTTCGCCAGTATTTGCAAATAAACTGACTACTGATTTACATTCTTTTACTGCTGCAGATTGTGTTGTTGTCGTAGTTGTTGTAGTTGTCGTAGTTTTCGTGGTAGTCGTGATAGTCGTTACTATAGTTGTCGTTGAAGGTGCAGGAGTAGTCTAATTATATTTTAATTACTTTTAACAAAAATATATAGAAACATACAGATGGACTAGAAGTTGAAGATGCTGTTGTCTATGCTACTGTTGTGCTTACTGCTTCTGTAGTACTCTGTACCTAGGTAGTACTTGGTTCTGATGTAGTAGTAGGTGAAGTAGTGGAAGCTTGAGTTGTTGTGGATGGAGCTGCAACTGTTGGATTGCATTCGAACTATGACACGTAAATTTATCCTGATGCAGCCACAGCTGTTTTTCCAAAACAAAAATGCCCTGGTTCTACTCTACAGTACGAATCGCAGCTACAAGTAATTAGAATCATAATATATCTTACCCATCACCAGTTATATTGTTCAAATCAAGACAAACCGTTCCAGTTAAAAGACATGAAGGGAAACATTATGATGACCCCATTCCATTAGGATTAAGACAGGTCCATCCGTATTTTATTCTGCAGTTGGCATCACATCTATTAAAGACTATTAGGACATTGAAATGCTTACCCTCCAGAACTATCGAGGAATCCATCATCGCATTCTTCTCCAGTTACGCCAACGAACTTATCCCTAGTGCATTAAGCATTAGGTGCAGATGCAGTGATTGCTGGTGCATTTGGATTAACAGTTGTAGGTATCTAAAGAGTAAACTGATTAGCTGAAAGAAACATACCATTCTTGAATAAGTATTAATACATTTGAAGAAATCTCTTGCATCATGGGTAAAGAATTGAGCACAAATAAAGTCTATTTCAGTCTAGCATGTTGAAGAGCATCTAAAATGATGATTAAAAATGATTTGAGTACCCATCGTCGTTATTAGAATTGCGGTCAAAGCATTAAGATGTTATACTTCCACAAGCAATAGCAAATGTTGATGCTTTTCCAATCCTATTGGTTACTGTTAAGCCAGCAGTTAACAAACAGTTAGGGCAACTAAACGAACTTTATATACTCATGAAATCTTACGATTGGGAGCCACCACCTTCGTCACATTCCTCTCCGAAATCAATTTTATTGTTTCCACAAAGTCCTGATATGAATGGGACAGATGCTGTTGTCTATGCTACTGTTGTACTTGCTGCTTATGTAGTACTCTGTGCCAATGTAGTGGTTGGTTCTGATGTAGTAGTAGGTTAAGTAGTGGAATCTTGAGTTGTTGTGGATGGAGCTGCAACTGTTGGATTGCAAGCGAATGATGACAAGAAAAATTCTCCTGATGCAGTCATAGCTGTTTTTCCAAAACAAAAATGCCCTGGTTCTACTCTACAATACGAATCGCAGCTACAAGTAATCAGAGTCATAATATATCTTACCCATCACCAGTTATATTGTTCATATCAAGACAAACCGTTCCAGATAAAAGACAAGAAGGGAAACATTATGATTGTCCACCTCCATCAGGATTAAGACAGGTCCATCCGTATTTTATTCTGCAGTTGGCATCACATCTATTAAGGATTAAGACAGGTCCATCCGTATTTTATTCTGCAGTTGGCATCACATCTATTAAAGACTATTAGGACATTGAAATGCTTACCCTCCAGAACTATCGAGGAATCCATCATCGCAGTCTTCACCAGTTGCAACAATAGAATTTCTAGTACATTAAGCATTAGGTGAAGATTAAGTTGTTGCTGGTACAGTGGGATTGGCTGTTGTAGGTAACTATAAAAGTAAATTAGTCGAAATAAATAAACATACACTTCTCTAAACTGTACTCACACACCTTCTACTTCCAGTCGGAATATCTGCAGAGACATCTGAAGAACAAATAAATGATGCCTCAACATTGCATTAACTCGAACAACTAAACGTTTAAAGAGGATATAATTACCCATCGCCGTCATTCAGATTCTAGTCAAAGCAACTGCCGCTAGCAGCCCTTCCGCAAACAGTAACTCCACTCGACCAATCTCCAAGGATATTCTCAGATAGTTAGCCTGCTTATATCAAGCAATTATTACAACTAAACGAACTTGATATACTCATGTAATCTTACAGACCGGTATTAGAGCCTTAGTCGCATTCCTCTCCAAAATCAAGTACTCCATTATTACAAAGTCCTGATACGAATGGTGTAGATGCTGTTGTCTATACTACTGCTGTAGTTGCAGCTTGTGTAGTTGTACTTGGCTATGATGTAGTAGTAGGTTAATCTGTAGTTGTCACTTGAGCAGTTGTAGATGGAGCTGGAGCAATTGTTACACTGCAACCGAAGGAAACCAAGAATGGAAATCCCTATCCTGCACCTTTGCCTGAAGTTCCATAACAATAATAACCTGGTTCTACTCTACAGAACGAGTCGCAGCTACAAGTTGTTATGAGTCATTATATATCTTACCCATCACCATTTATAAAGTTTTTATCAAGACAAAGCGTTCCAAAGTGTAGACAAGATGGATAACATTAAGATTTCTAGTTATTTGGTGGATTAAGACAGGTCCATCCATATTTTATTCTGCAGTTGGCATCACATCTATTAAAAATAATAAGTATATTTGTCTTTTTAAGAAATTAATTATAATATGATTTTGTCAGTTTCAATTTAATATGGTGTAAACTAAAATGGAAACAAATAAAATCATTTCCATCCATGATTATGAAATTGAACCACTTGAACAGACCTTCACATTATTGGAGCATTCTTCAGAAATAGTTTTCTTAGGTCCAGGTCCCCAACATCCCACTGTGTATGGATGGAACATTGTAGTTGCATAATAGTAAACTCCTGCTATTTCAACTCCATTGCAAAGATCAATATCGCAGGGTTACCATAAAGTTCCATCTCTTTTGTAGGGCCCTAAAATTGAATGGCCATCTCTCGCTATTCCAATTATCATTATAGTCTTTTCTTGATATTACATGAAGGATAATGCATATGCTAACTTATCTTATTTGCATTTTGGTATATTATTGCATTCCTATGCATCTCTGCTCTTAATAGGTCCAGATGGAAGTATGCAAGGAGACCAACCATAATAGTGATAATATCCAGAAAACTCAGCACTTCCAAGACAATTGTCAAGCTGAATTAATTTGTCAGAATAAGCTTTACTTCCAAATTTCTTAGGATAGAATACATCAGAGCCGTATTCAGAATTTCCAGTATGAATAGCCACTCCATTAAGGGCAATTCCAACAATACTATCATAATTTCCTGAATATTCAACATAACTTGGATTCATTTATAAGATATATCCTGACTAAGTCCATGAATCATCACAAAGTGCCATATTTACACTTAATTGATTATTTCCGTTGTATTGATAAGATTCATCTTATTCAGAATCTAAAAGCATTCTTGTTAGGGAGATTTTATTCTTGTATACAACTTAAAAGTCAATTTCATTCTTCTTAGGAGTAGTGTCTGAAATAAAACAGTGGTTAGGTAAAGAGTTAGATTTTATTCTCAATACAGCATTATTTCTTTTGAGCTAAAGATCTCGCTATCCTGTTTAAGTTTATTCTTCATTCTAGCAACCGGTAGCAGTTTATCTCACCCATTGACAAGGTGGACTTGATCCATCAGGACATGATGTCATTCCTCTACATTAAACGCTATCTCCTCCCTCATTATAATTTTCGCCAGTATTTGCAAATAAACTGACTACTGATTTACATTCTTTTACTGCTGCAGATTGTGTTGTTGTCGTAGTTGTTGTAGTTGTCGTAGTTTTCGTGGTAGTCGTGGTAGTCGTTACTATAGTTGTCGTTGAAGGTGCAGGAGTAGTCTAATTATATTTTAATTACTTTTAACAAAAATATATAGAAACATACAGATGGACTAGAAGTTGAAGATGCTGTTGTCTATGCTACTGTTGTGCTTACTGCTTCTGTAGTACTCTGTACCTAGGTAGTACTTGGTTCTGATGTAGTAGTAGGTGAAGTAGTGGAAGCTTGAGTTGTTGTGGATGGAGCTGCAACTGTTGGATTGCATTCGAACTATGACACGTAAATTTATCCTGATGCAGCCACAGCTGTTTTTCCAAAACAAAAATGCCCTGGTTCTACTCTACAGTACGAATCGCAGCTACAAGTAATTAGAATCATAATATATCTTACCCATCACCAGTTATATTGTTCAAATCAAGACAAACCGTTCCAGTTAAAAGACATGAAGGGAAACATTATGATGACCCCATTCCATTAGGATTAAGACAGGTCCATCCGTATTTTACTCTGCAGTTGGCATCACATCTATTAAAGACTATTAGGACATTGAAATGCTTACCCTCCAGAACCATCACTGAATCCATCATCGCAATTTTCAACAGCCTCATAGAGCTGATTTCTAGTACATTAAGCATTAGGTAGAGATGCAGTCATTGCTGGTGCATTGGGATTAACAGTTGTAGGTATCTAAAGAGTAAATTGATTAGCTGAAAGAAACATACCATTCTTGAATACTTATTAATACATTTGAAGTAATCTCTTGCATCATGGGTAATGAATTTAGCACAAAGATAGTCTTGTTCAGAATAGCATGCTGAAGAGCATCTAAAATGATGATTAAAAATGATTTGAGTACCCATCGTCATTATTAGAATTACCGTCAAAGCATGAAGTTTGAAAGCCACAAGCCATTGCCAGTGTTGATGCTTATCCAATGTAAGTACTATTTAATATTGGCAGCAGCTAAGTAATAAATATTAGGGCAACTAAACGAACTTAATATACTCATGAAATCTTACGATTGGGAGCCACCGCCTTCGTCACATTCCTCTCCGAAATCAACAAGATTGTTACCACAAAGTCCTGATACGAATGGGACAGATGCATGTCCAACCTAGTTTAATCTTACAATTCTAATCACATCTAAAATAAAAAATGATTTTATTTACGATATCATACCCGCCTTAATTTTTGAGGTCACCATCATCACATTGCTCATCAGAACTAATAATCATATCTGTTTTATCGCAAAATGGGCTTTAATTTCCCTAATATTATTCTTAATTTCTTTAGTTAAAATCCTAGTAAAAAAATATATTATGAGCAAAAGCAATACAATCTAAGGAGATTGAAAATATTTTGAGCATTTAAAGGTAAATTTATCACTCAGACATATCATGTCATTTTCCACGATACATTAAGAATCACATCTATAAAAATAAATTAAAGCACTTTACCCATCTCCATCATTCAAGTTACCGTCATGACATTAATTACTGTTTAATCCTATTCCAAAGCAAAAGCGATTAATTATTGAAGTTTGACCATAATCATCAGTTTTGGAATGATATCCGTGTTTAACATTGCATTTTTCATCACATCTGTATAAGTTGTTAATAATATAATAATGTCATACTAAGTAAAATCATTTGCTTTTCCATCATCACACTGTTCTCCAATCTCAAGTTTTCCATTCTTGCATTCAGATTCCAAAAGCATGACAATGTCTTTCTGGTATTAAGTGATAGGAAGTTAAGTTTTTTAATCAGTATTTTAGAGTTTGAAATTGAGAGGCTCTTAATTTTTTAGTTATTCAGTATTTTCCTAATTATTTTGCTTGACTAAATTTTTAATAAATTTATAATATTTTACGAATCATTTTCGAGAAGGAATCCTTGAATAAGCTTTGTGAATTATTTTTCAAATTTCTGCACTTAAACTTGTATTCATCATTGTTTACTGTGAGTTCACAACTATAATCATCCTCAACTCTGCAAAATGAGTCACAGCTAAAAGATTATACAATTAATAAAAAAAAGGGTTTACCCATCGTTATTTTATTTGTTTTGATCAAGACATTGCAACTCATTTAGTGCACAATTTTAAAAACATTTAGAAATTGACCCATATATTGTTTGGCATGTAAAGCCAGTCCTGATCTTGCATTATTCATCGCATCTATAACTAGAATTATGCAAATATGTTTATTAACCCTTGTGAATGTAAAGTATTTCCATCATCACATTCTTCATTAGATGACTAATAGTTGTCTTTTATGCAAGTGTTTTGATTATTATCAACTGATTCTTAAAACTATGTCTAAAATAACATATATCAGAATGAAAATATCTATACCTCTCGATTATAGCATTTGAAATCACCCTTTATTTTATCATAAATGCAGTACTTGTTTGGCTCAGTCAAGCAACTGCTATCACAACTAAAAAATAAGAGTTAATATTTCTCTGAAATCTAATCTAAAATGAAATACCCATCTTCGTCTATTTTATTTGAGTCCAAACAAAAATCTTCCCTTAATTTGCATTATTTCTAAAATGTTCATTGATTGTTTGGTTCGATTATTGCTGTAAAGCCCAGCTCAATTTTGCAAGTGCTATCGCAACTAAACTGAGTTTAGATTTTAAAGATTTGTTACCCATCAGTCGAAAAGCTGTTAAAATCATCGCACTCTTCAAACATTTCTAACATGCCATTACCACAAACAGG